CCAACGGGTCACGTGGCATTTCATTCGGCAGTTTCGATCAGCGCCATCTATTATTCGGCTCCAAATGCTCCATAAGTGATAGGAATATAGAATAGGCAAGGAGGTCGACGATGTGCTGGTCACGTGGTAGACAAGGACAGAGAGGGGATAGAAAAGGATAGAATGGCTCCGGTAGGGAAAAATTATTAATTACTCTCTTACCGTAAACAATTTGTGAACTTTTATAATTTCACTGCAAAGCTGGAACTTCAGGCTGCATTCCTATATAACTTTCGTAAAGAATTTAACTCTAAATTGTTAGTTATTAATTTTTGTTTTATGGCGTCTATGATTTCGTAACGGCGACCATCACGACCTTCTGTGAAAATATTTATTCCTAAACGAAACCAGAAGCAAAATGTGATCAAAAGTTATATGAGAAGATTCGCAAGAACATTGTCTTTCTAACGAGTGCATAAAGCTTCATAAATTAATTTCGTAGAGGATAGTAATTAATGAAAAACCAATGGCGTCTTTCGTAACAATTCAAACACTGCGCAGAATAATAATTAATATTAAATTAATTAGGGACAAATCTATATCGAAAAGTATATTGGAAAGTTGCTGAAGGATCTGCCTTTACGATGGAGTTATAAAAGTTCACAAATTAACCGCAGGAATAGAGTAATTAATTAATTTTCTAATAAAACATTAAAAAGGAACATTCAGCGCCGCCTATGACTTTTATCTGGAAGCTTGAGCTTCGTTAGTTCCAATACATAACTATAGGCGGCGCTGACTGTTCCTTTTTAAAGTTTTATTAGAAAATTAATTAATTACTCGATTCCTGCGATTAATTCGTGAACTTTTATAACTCCATCGTAAAGGCAGATCCTTCAGCAACTTTCCAATATACTTTTCGATATAGATTTGTCCCTAATTAATTTAATATTAATTATTATTCTGCGCAGTGTTTGAATTGTTATCGAAGACGCCATTGGTTTTTCATTAATTACTATCCTCTACGCAATTAATTTATGAAACTTTATGCACTCGTTAGAAAGACAATGTTCTTGCGAATCTTCTCATACAACTTTTGATCACATTTTGCTTCTAGTTTCGTTTGGTAATAAATATTTTCACGGAAGGTCGTGATGGTCGCCGTTACGAAATCATAGACGCCATAAAACAAAAATTAATAACTAACAATTTAGAGTTAAATTCTTTACGAAAGTTATATAGGAATGCAGCCTCAAGTTCCAGCTTTGCAATGAAATTATAAAAGTTCACAAATTGTTTACGGTAAGAGAGTAATTAATAATTTTTCCCTGCCGGAGCCATTCTATCCTTTTCTATCCCCTCTCTGTCCTTGTCTACCACGTGACCAGCACATCGTCGACCTCCTTGCCTATTCTATATTCCTATTACTTTTCTGATCATTTGATCCAAAACCATAGATGGCGCTGATCGCAGGCGGTAAAAATTTTTATTCGAACTAGATACCAGAAATCAATTTGACAGTAGAAACTTAATAAATTTTCAAGTTTTTGTAATTAATTCATGAACATTTATAGTTGTACAGCAAAGTTGGAATTATAGGCAACATTCTTATAGGATATTTAATGTAATAATTATTGCTTACATGAGCGATAGGTTTTGTATTTTCTGTAGTAAATAAGATTACTATAGAAAAGTATTTTTCTTGCATAATATTCTTATTATTTTGTAATAAATTTATATTTGCATAAGAAAGCGTAGAAAATAAATTTTTTTATTACGATATTTTATTTACAGTTTTTTATTTACAATTATTTTCATAGGCGAAAAATGAACAGAAATTAAAAGTAGATTGAAAAAACTTCCAATTATGGGCGGAAATCGAACCTCGGTCCTTTAACATACAAATTCTCCACTGTTGCCGATAATCCACGACTTCATCTAGAAATTATTAGAAGTAATTCTGTAATTAAGAAAGTAATAAATAATAAAATTCTAATCGTAAATATTTCAAAAACTATTGAGTAGTTGCCGCTATAATGATATATTTTCTTAAACTGCATGACGATATTTACAAACCTGAAAAGTTTGAACTAAATCGGTGACCCGAAGGACTTGCACTCTCCTTGTAAGTTCTAAGATGACAATGAAGCTTCTAGCGTTTTTATTTTTCGTGCAATAAGTTTTAGTAAAAAATACAGAGAAAATAAGAATATTTTGATATGCAAATACCTTTCATAGAAATTTACTCTATGGAGGTGCGAATATAGTTTATTAAATATATATAAATTATGAAATTTATTATTAATAACAAATTGTTCGCAACGTAAATTTATTATAAATATGGAAAAATTAATAAATTATTGGCTATTACTCGAACTTATCACGTCCTTGTGTTAAAATGTACAAATAATTTGCCAAAAGTGTATAAATTATTGCACCGATTGTTTATAACAAATTGTTCGCAGTGTAAATTTATATTAGGAATAAAAAAATTATTTAATTATTGGCTACGGCAGCGGAAAATTAATAATTAATAAAATCGGTGAAGTTCAAAAATTTCCGATCGGAGTGGGGGAATCGGCCGATCGGAGGCTATATAAAGGGCAACGCGACGACTTATAACTAATATGTCAGTTCGACTTCGGAAGCGTAACATCTAATTTACATAGTGCGCGAGGGGTGGTGGTCGGAAGTGAGGTTGGGGCTAGCCACGCCACCCTCACCCACCCCATTAAACAATTTACTAATAATTTTTCTTTTGTTTTCAGATATTAATTACTATTTTCCTTCAGGTTTTAATTATTTTTTATTTTTTCTGGTTTTAATTATTTTTTCGCTTTCCAGGTTTTAGTTTTCGTTTCTATTTATTCTTATTCGAATATGTCGTCGTTGGTTTATTTATGTCTCATCGTTGGCTAGATCAGTGGCTAATCGATAGCCACTGTCCACTCCACCTTCTTAATTAATTTAATAATTTCTTTTCAGATTTTAATTAATTTTGTCGTTTCAGATTTTATATTTTTTACTTTATTTATTTTTATTGTGCATTCGAATATTTCGTATAATATTCGAATGTTTCCTCGTTGGGTTGTTTATGTCTCATCGTTGGGATGTTCATATCTCATTGTTGGGTTCTTCATTCCATTTAATTGATATTTATGGTTTATGCGTGTTTCGCTTTTATTATGTTTTACTAATTTGTTACTAATCTGTTTCTTTTTAGATTCTCAAGACATCGTCGGACGACGTGGGATGCGTGCGTTTAGATCCAAGTTATAAGATAGATCCCTAGACTAAGAGTATCATGTGCACGCTATCTGTACAAAGGTAAGCTACCTAACTTGGAGCGAATATATCCGTTCTATATTCATTCTTACTCATTCCTGTCGTTACCCAAACAGAACGTAATCGTTCTCGCGATAATCGCGATCTTTCTTAAGTACCGACTAGTCTACGCGACGTGCTCTCGTATACTCGATAAGTACATGCTTCGTAAGTCATCCTCACGACTCGTCTCCGACACTCATTTCCAGCCACTGTCAATCTCGTCGTGCATCGGGTTCCAGGGTGACCCCCTCGGATCAGTGCGTCTTCTGAACTCGACGGAGCGGTCCGCTGCTTAAGTCGTACGCGACTGGGGCTCGGGCACATGCTAGCTGACGGACTAGTAGTGTCTACGGTCAGACCACAGGTATGATTGAGTTCTACCCCGTGTGGTTGGGGTGCGAAGTGTCCGTCTTGGCCAGCAGCCGCCCAGCTGGACCCTCGCGTTGACACTAGAAGTTTCATTGGTTCAGGGACTATCCTTGGTCCACGTGTAAGTCTTGGCGAGTGCGACAGTGACTGGAATTGAGCTAGGCCCGATCGGGAGGGTGCCGAGGTATGAAGTTATCTCTGTACACGGGAGTACATCGCCTAGGCTAGTCGGTCTTTCGAATAATCGCGAACTCGTTCGGGCGCGTCGCGATTTTCTATTTGCTCGCGTGTTTGATATTTCATTCCCTATTTTTATGGGAACTTGAAAATATCTTAGCGTTGCGACAGTAGAGTTTCAGTATACCGAACCGAAACCCCTTTTGTAAGACACGAAATATAATAAAGTGTCAGTAGAGTCATTTTAACTTAATTCGCTTCAAGTTAGATTAGGGTACCTTTGATACAGGTAGCGCCAGCAGGCTGCGCCACTAGGGCGCATGTCGAGTCTCGATGCGTAGCCACCTCCACGTGGTGAGGCCTGGTAATTGATATTGTTTCCCAAAGAACAATTTTTGGGAAACGATATCAAGCTAAGAGTTACGCACAATGTTCAAGATATGTCGTATCTCTCGTAAATTTTCAACCTTCCTAGATGCCGTAGATTTTCACGTGTTAAATTAGAAAGAATTAATCGATTAACGTTCTTCTTGTATTTCAGGTAATTTAGTCATAATTTACACACGTGTATCGATTAAGAAACCGTTGATCAAAGTTTACAAGTAATTTTTTCTTATTCAATTTCAATGACACTTGGCGGGGTTCTTTAAGATGCCTTCGATTTTGTATAGAGGGCACTATCATCTGTTTCATATTTTTAGGTCGGTAAAGCAGTCGAAGACGAGCCGCGAAAGTCTTTTAAATCTCTCCGCTTTCAGCGTGCCTTGATTGCATAATCGATGATTTAATTTTCGAAATGATTGATCGAGTAAACGTGATTTTCCCGTTTTCTGTTTTTCTTTATTTTTTTACGTACGAGCAAGTTCCAATACGGTACCGTATACGTAGTTGCCTGTTACCATTCTCGTATCGTTACCAACGTTACCGATTTAACATAGGATAAGATGGCATCGTTAATGGCTAACGGATATAATGTCAAACGAGTATATATTTGCGAAAGCAACGGTTTCGTGAAAATGGACTATGACGTTTTATAATCGTAATATATCGTTTATCCACGCGCATTATCCTCGGTGCAGGTATTTTCGAAATAAAAGATTGGTCAGTCGATTTGCGTCATGATTTCAAGTACCAATGTGATTCTTTTCTTTATCTTTATTAGGATGGAAAAATATGAAAATACAATTTAAGAGTGTATTTCTATTTATAGATGTACCTTTGATAATTAGATTAAATATAGTTTCGAAACTCAATAACAAGTGTCAAAAGTTCCAAATTTTATGATGTTTATTCAGATTCGTATAATACGGAGTCTTTTACGATATTACCCCGCAGTGCAATGCATCATCGTTCGCATTGGAATTAAATAATGCAATTCGTGGAAAAGATGGGAATCGTATTTTCTCAAGTTTAAGTATTTCGGTACGCAATAAAGTACGTTCAAAGGAAGTCGTTAATTTCGCATTTTAGTGACACGATCGTTTTGTTTGCGCGCAAATTATCGCCGTTATCTTGAACATTCTTAAAGAACATTTCTCGTTCGAAAAGTATATAATGCAGGTTCGATATTTTGCATAAGTAATACGGGAAACTTGATCCTTGCATCGGTAATGTGGGTGTGTGCATTCTAGACGCGCAGAATCTCGATTTGAAGCGAATGAAATGTTTTATAATTTGCATATTGTATATAACGAATAAATAGTACAAGAATATATCGAATGATTAGTTCAACTAGATTTACGAGTGAGAAAAACCAAAGACAAGGCAAACAGGTTCTTGGCGCATTTTTGGTTCCTTCCTTCTTCGTAGATTTGTCGTTAGCAACGATCATCTTCTCTCTCCATTTTTCGTTCGTCGAAGCTAAGAATATCGTTAAACGAAACGATCTCGATACAACGATTCCGTTTACGCAAGAAGGCTGTGTACGCCAATGATGTGCTTCATCTGTCATAATCGTATTATCGACATTCCGATATCGACGATCGGCGCTTAACGTTAATTAGATTTTACTTTGGTACGCGTTGCGTATATACGATTTATCAATACGATTTACACGTGGAATCGCGGTGAAAAGAATCGTCGAGATTATTTGCGGACCGTTCGAGGATCGATTTCAAAGTGAACTATTTCCGCGAGTCGATCAACGATTGGAACACGGTTGAAGAATTCGAATGTGGAAGAGAAAAAAAGGTAGATCTCGATTCTTTTTAATTAAACAGTTGGAAAATATAACATACTCACGGCAGTTGGATATTTACACGGATAGAGAAAAAGATCTTTCGAATCGTAGGATGCGAGAAAGATGAGAAAAAAATATCGATCTGTCTCGGCTCCGAATGGTACTCTGAAAAGGATTGCAAAGGTATCACAGTTGCGCATGCACACTTGGTTCGTTTCCTTTTCGTTTCGTTCCGTTTCCTTTCTATTCGTTTCTATTCGTTTCTATTCGTTTCTGTTCGTTTTTATTCGCTTTTTATTCGTTTCTATTCGCATTTAGCGGTTTCGTTTCGATCCATCCGATGGTTGACGCGTTACGCGTTAGACATGGCGAGGCTTTTCTCCGACGTCTTCACTGGTCTTGGATGAAAGAAAGACAAGCAAAAGCAGGCTATAAAGAAAGAAGATGCGCAGATTAGAAAGACGGGCAAGAGAAACGCGTTTCGATTCCCTTATCGACTTACCGAATAACAGGCAACCGATTCCCATGAACCCGACCAGACACTCCGCTTCCAATAACGCGGAGAACGCAAAATTTCCCAGAACAGCTGCTACGTTACCCACAATGACGAGCATGTTCAGACTAGTGGACCTACGCTAAAACGGTTGGTTATTCGCGATCGAGAAACGAATGGTTTTCTAGGCGCGTTTCGAGCAAACATCGATTAAACGTTTCGTGGCGATAAGCTGAAAGAGAAATGGACACGGATCCGAACACGGATCAGGACACGGTGTCGGATAGGAAAATATAAACGGAAACGAGCGCGAATTCGCGTTACAAGGGATACTCGTTGGGATACTCGCGACGGAAGCATTACCTTAATGGAATAGGAATAACGTCGATGTTCACAGCGGTAACGATATTACCCGCTATTCTCGTCGTCACGATAATGGCGGCTGCCAGTGTCAACATGTAGGGAGGAGATTGCGCCCAGTTTATTCCGAAACTGCTAATCACCGACACGAGGAAAGCGGCAACTGCAAGAGGAGCGAGCATTTATTCGGTAATGTCGCGCGTTCCTCTCGTCTCGCGAATCATCGCTAATCCTTACGCATTAGCCCTTTCTTCCTGAACGTCGTGGTAGATATGGTTCCGACGAGGAACGAGAACGTGACAGCAGACAGCGCTATGATGGCGGAGTTTTCGTATACTGCCGCGCTGATCTTCCACTGAAACGTAAACACCAGTTAGGAAGGCAGTTTGATCGCGATCGATGGACGATACGGGAAGATGGATGGATGATCGGTGAAGTAGCACGCGTTGTATCGTTCTCACCGTGAGGCAAATACGCTGAAAATCCGGACAGCTCAAGTACGGTTTGGCCGGCACAGACATCCGAGGATCCAACATTTCGCGCATGGTCGGTGGTCGGTCGTTGGTCCACCTCTCGTAATCGAAGTTATTCAGGATGATGAAGAGGTGCGGCACCCAGAGTCTCATCGTGTTGAACCTGCGCGACGAAAAGTCGCAGGATCGGTCGTATTATCCTGGAGTTTCGAGACGCGAAACGACTCGTACAGCGAGGCGGAAAACTTACCCCAGCATGCTACCGAATTGAAGAAAATTGATAAAGAGAACGGCACGCAGATACCGAGACGAGAATAAGAGTTTAGCGTTGTAACAGGTGAGTCGTATTTTTTCGGAATTCGTGTTGAACGGGGCGCGTCGCGAGAGCGACGCGTTCTCCCATACGAGTAGCGCTTTGATCTGAAAAGCAAAACAGGGAGAAACAATGGGAGCGACACTGACTAGGATCATCGAGCGAATTACGCGTCCGATAGCTATTCGAACGTTATCCAGACGATATCTCGAACGAATAGCACGAACAGCCGACGTCGGGAAAGGTTTCTTTTCGTTTCGGTTGCTCGTTAAATCCGCGATAAACGTAAACGCGTGATTCGTTTGGCATCTGTGGCGCGATCGACGAGAAAGA